AAAACACCCTCTCGGTTTATTTATTTTACCATTTTCCCTTCCTTAGATGACAACTATGAAATAGAAAACCAAATACTACGGAATTATAATAATTTCTGAGGCAGACAAGTATTCATGCTGTGGCCCCTTATCTTGCTTTGCCTTTATCCCAAGCAGCAATAAAATAGAGCCCATAGAGCCATTTAGGGACAAGGGGGTACAAAGGGATATTCTATTTATCCACAGGAAAAATAAAAACGTAGGATTCTTGATGGGTGTCCAGCATATATTTAAGCTTCTCAATCTGCCTGAGGGCCTTGCAGACATTTTTAGAGAGAGCGTACCTACAAGTGTTCATATGTAGTTGAAAGCAAGCTGCCTTTAGGAGACAAAGTAGACTACATGTTGGGTAAAAGCACCCTCACTTTCTTATACCTACAGTAATCAAAGATTGATCTAAGCTGAAGTTGACCTAGAAAATGCATTTGTAACAAGTATTTTCCTTCCTCCACAATGACAATAAAAATGGACACTGTATGAGTATAATTAAGACAGCAGTGCAAAGACAAGATGTTAGCATCTAGCACCACTCTGGTGGTTATCCCAATCCTACGCCTTCCAAGGACTGGAATTAAGTGAGCCTTCTTGAAGAGGGGTTGGCTTGTGAGGGCTGCTTCTATCACTTGGACATAATCCTGGAAGAAGTTATTTTGTAAGGACTACAAAATAATAGAAACAACTAGTATTTGACCGCATTTAATAAAGTACTCTCTTTCCTTCCCTCCCCATCCCCTCTCCATGCTTTCCTCCCATCTTTATTTGGGACTGGAGATTGAAACCAGGGCCTTAGCATGGAGCTACATTCCCAGCCTTTTCCACTGTGAGACAGGGCCATGCTGAGTCACAAAGTTGCCCAGCTGGGCTTGAACCTGCGACCCTCCTGCCTCATCCTCCCAGAGTTCTGGGATTACAGATGTGTGCCACCATGCATAGCTAGGATCTCAATCTGTTTTTTTTGATACCAGGGATTGAACTCACAACCTTGTGCTTATGAGGCAGGCGCAGTGCCACTAAGCTAGATCCCCAGCCCCAGGATCTCAATCTTGAACACGTGAAAACTGAGGTTTACAGAAGTTGGTGACTGACCTGAACCCAGGTGGTCATATTCCAGATTCTGTAACATAATTTTACTACACTATTTTATAATGTTTATTTAACTTAATAGTATATAGCAAAAACTCCGAGGAAATGTACAGTATTATATACTACATAAAATATACATATACGTACTATACAGGTATTCCTTGTTTAATGACCTACCCGGTTAATGACTGTTTGCACCAATGAAGCACATTCTAATTAAGGTGGCAGTGTGGCCTTAAATGGTGGCTTCTTCTAGGTCTGTACTGCAAAGTATGTTCTATATACAATTTTTTTTTTTTTGGTACCAGGGATCAAACTTGGGACCCTGTGCTGGTGAGGCAGGTGCTGGAACCACTGAGCTAAATCCCCAGCCCCATTCTATATATAATTTTTCATTTAGCAACCAATTCATTTAATGACCTAGACACAGGAACGTAACTTGGTTGTTAAGGGAGGAATGTTTAGACACACACACACTCTCACTATGAACTAACACTGGTCGCTGTGGTATTATTAAGCAGTACTTACTACCTTTTTTTTTTTTTTTTGGTACTGGGAATCGAACTCAGGGCCTTGCGCTCGTAAGGCAGGTGGTGGAACCACTGAGCTAAATCCCTGGCCCACTACCTTTCTGATGGCTGTTTCACCCGTATGGAGACAAAGCTGTAATGGTTGACTTCATGGTCTGTATGATTTCACAAATGCTAAACTCTGATTAGAGTTGTGATACTAATGACGGCCTCACAGTCTTGGTCCCTGGGGACCCAAACTGTGGGAGAACCTGCTCCCTGATGTCTTAATTTGGCTGGCACAATGGCAGTGTACCCAGGAGAACAGATACAGCACACTGAGGTAGTGGAACTGGGGACATGTTTTCATTATACTTCACCTTTTTTGTGAACTCAGGACCTTGTGCCTGCAAGGCAGGCATGGTCCCACTGAGCTAAATCCCTGGCCCTTATACTTAACCTTTCTAAGATAATTTGAGTTTCTTTTACCAACTTATTGGGTCACAGCTAAAACATTTGTGAACTAGGTCACCCCATTCAGTTAACAAGAAGTGTATCTTCCAGCCAGTATACGTGGGGGGTGGGGTGGTAGTGGTGTCACTTTGCTCTTGTTGGACATGGGCATGCCATTAAACCAGTGTGAGATATCCTAACTGAAAACACCTGAAGCCTGGCTTTTTTACTGGGTCAGAATTTGGGGCCATCATTGCTCCTGTTGGGAGAAACAACTCCAAGTTGTGTCTGGAGAAAACTACCGGCCTGCTTCACAGGTGTCCCCTCAGCCAATTACTGGCAAAAGGAGAGAGGCCCTTGTGTATGGCCAGAGTCGTCTGCCTGCTCTGCTTTCTGTGGTCACTCCCACTAGTCTCTTGGGCACATGGTCTGCCCTGGGTCAGCAACCCCCACTAGCTGCACCTCTCGGGGAGGATAACCTTGACCAAGAACATTACTGACGGAGGACTGCCAGAATCACCAACAGTCCATCGGTCTTTTGGGGACTCTACAACCCATCTGGTGCATCTCCTTTCAAACCTCTCTGCCAGCACAAGTACTTGGCTAGTTCTTTGGGGTAATACTGTATCTACATTAAGAAAAATCACCAGGAACAATTCTTTGATACTTGTATTTATTATGAGGTGAAACTGTTGCAAGTGCTCGCTATAAGAATGGAGGGAAAGATTCCTCAGATCTCAGAGCAGCTGGCTCAGGTTTACCTTGAGTCTGGACCTGTCTCCCTCTTTACACTGACTCTAGGGGGTCAGGTTTTTAATTTATCTTAACTATGTAAGACCTCCTATAATGCCATTAGTGTGCTAACAATTAGTGTGTTCAACTTATTTTTTCCTTTACTCCAATGTTTTTACTTAAAATTTTGTTGAAATTTTCCTACTTTGTAAGTTGTCCTTTGTTTATCTGTGGGAACGTGAATGGTTACCGGTGGGGAGACAGCGACTGGAAGGCCAATGGGAGGGTTCTGGAGTATCAATCATTTCTTTAGATGGACATGGGGGCTTCTAGAGTACTGATCATTCATTTCTTCAGCTGGACTCATGTTAAAGAAATGTGTCCACTCTGTATTCACTGAGCTGAGCATTTGATTTGTGCACCTTTCTACATGCACATCAAACTTCAATAAAATGGCACAGAGAATGAGGACCTATGCATATGAGTTTACTACGTGTGATACATTCATTACATGTATTTTCTTTAATCCTCAGAAGACTTAGGTGAATAGTTGTCCACATTTCATAAATGAGGAATCTCATCTGAGGTTAAACAGGGTAAAGAATGAAACCAGATGACTTCTTTACCCACTCTATTATGTTACACTGCTCTTTATTCGGTCCTCATCAGGCTCAGCCACTAAATTTAAGAGACAGGGGTCAGACCTGGTGGAGAAACAGGGGAAAGGACTTCGTGGAGGGGGTGTTGGGGCTACAGCTGGTGTGGGCTTCCTTTGGTGGAGAAGGATTAGAGGGAAGAGCCCTGGACCGAGAGCAACCTGGGATTCCCTTGCTCTCTATCCAACTCTCCAGGGCAGGGCTTGTCCCTCCCCCGGTGAGACCACCCATAGGCCCACCTTATTTACAACTTAATTAAAAAAAAAACATTGCAAAAGATAAAGTCTACTATTCCTTATCAGTTATGTTCTCACCTAGAATATCCATCTTCTAGCCTTCTGAACAAGGGGAGAGAATATACAAAGACCAGCTAGCAAGGGACAGGGGTTTCTCTTGCTCCCCTCAGGAAGTAAACACATTGTCAGGTCACCCAGCAAGAATGCTGACTGGGTTCAGCAGCCTGTCCCCCACCCACTTGAGAGAGGGCCCCGAGGGTGTGTTCTGATTGTCTAGAACCATGGTAACTATTATCCAGTCCCTTTCCCACCAAGACCTCCTCTCCAGATGTGGCTGGGGTTTTAAAGGCCCAAGTTTGCTGCAGGTGCAGTAGAGTCACGTACTCAAGACCATGTTCTCATAAACTGCTTTCTAGGAAAGGGATACAAACTCAGGATCAATTTTTGTGTGCAGACCAAAAGAACTCAAGATTTCATTTCGTACTGTAAAAGTCATTACACAGCAGTGCTGGGGAGACAGGTCAGCAGACCAGTTTCAGGGTTCCCTAATAGTCCACCACAATACTAGCTGTCTTGTTTTGGCCTCATCATTCCCTCAACCATTGTTTCCCCCTTTCCCATCAGGGAATCGGGCCAGTCCATTCTAAAGCCCATTCACAGCTCTAAAATTCTAACATGAACTGCCTAGCAGCTATATTCCTGGAGAAATGACACTGGACAGAGGTAGGCGATAGGGATAGGCAGTGGCCTTCTCCCTCTCCCAGAGCAAACAGTTCAACCAGGAACTGGCCCAATTATAGAGGGCATCAAGAATCAGCCAGAGATGCAGCACAAGTGGCATTTGTGGAATACTGGTTTTAAAGAGGTACATAAATGAATGAGAGCAAAGAAAAACGTACTAGAGACATTAGGAGAAGAGAACAATCCTTTAAGCTAAAAAATGTATGTGGGTGTTATTTTAGTATATTCAGCCTCATTTTTCTACAGGGCTGTCTGCTGAGCTACCTGGAGGAACACTTAAGAGTTGCATCAGTAATGATAAGAACCTCTTTAAGCGTTACAGCATTCTTGGGCTTTCCTTGATGGAATTTCACAGTCAGACAACATGGCTAAACTATGTTCACCATGAAACTTTCTTTAATTTCAGGCTTCCCAGTTTTATTTGCATTTATATAATATAGATGTATAGACTCCTTTTTAATATAAAACTATCTTTGCTCATTTAAAAGTTAAAACAAACCAAAAAAGAGTGATTCTTAAACTGCTCTTCAAGGGAAGGCATAATCACCAACCTGGTGATACAAGGTCGCAGGGCTGAGGTCCCGTGGAGGTTTTCGAAATTTACTTTGGAGGAAAACTCTTGGCACACATAGGCCTTCTTTTTTATTCACTGTCTCTCGGAACACATACTCGTTTACCACTTCTTCATAACCTGTTCCCACGAAAAGCTGAGCCAGGAATTCTGTAAGACAAGCAGGTTGACAATGCTCAAAGACTTGGTACTATTACATTCTCTCTGCAGTGGTGAGGAGGAGGGGTGAAGGGCTCCAGAGGACTTTTATGTTGTAATGAAAACACTATGCAGACATTAGATTATCTGTCTTCTCTATTATTTATGACTGGCTTGATCAGATTTTATCAAACAGAAATATAAAATCTTTTCAATTTTCACCTAACATTTTTAGGATTTTGTGTTTTTAATGATAATCATTCATTTTTAATTTTCAGTATCTAAAACAGTATTTCAAGACATACAAATATCTGTAAAAACAGCAAGAAGGTAATAATGGTCTAGATTACTAGGTAGACTTAAAACTAATATTCAAAACACTGGAAAAACTAAAATACAGCGTTTTCTTATCCAAAATGTCTTTTTAAATATCCCTCTATAGTAAAGTTGTATATTTAAATATTCAGTCCCTTTTATTGAAAAAGGCTTCTTACCTCCATAAGCTGGGAAAGTAATCTCAACAGATTACACTGTCTTGTTTACTTCCGAGAAACAGTGAAATTTGATTTCCCTCCCGCCTTTTCCATCACAAGTCTCACAGGGCGTCAGGGTGGTATGTTAACCTCGAGTTCCCTAAGTAGGCACTGCCACCAGAGACAGCTGCGTGCTCCCCATAGCAGGGGCTGGGTCAGTGGTTCGTGTGTGGCAGCCCAAGTCCCGGGATCTTGTGCCTGTGCAGTAAGCACAGCTGCAAGCCCTCCAGCCCTCCCCAACCAGCTGCTCAGTAATAATCCAATCAAGCAAACAGAAGTAAATAAAACATTTTAATGACAGATTCTATTCCTTACCCTCAGTAAAAAAATACGATCTGGTTCCATCTTGTCTAACATAAAAGTTTTCTCCAAGTTTGCTGCTGGCTTTAAACCTAAGCATGGTGTGATCATACAGCCCATAGTCACGGAACAAGACACTTTTCCCTGGTTTTAATACCTACAAAACAAAAGTAGCCTGCATGTAACTTTGTGGAACCCCATCAAATAAACTGCAATCTGTGTTAGGAATTACAATAACTCACATTTGTGGCAATTATGATAGGGGCTAGGCTGAAATACCCGTAACATGAAGGAAAAGGGCCTGCTGGTGAAAGGGACATGAGACCTGACAGAGGGCCAAATGCCTCACTCCTGCAGACATTTTTTGAGCACCTTCCAGGGCATTCTAATGTCTAGGGCCACACAATTACAACGTAACAGATAATAAAACATCCCTATCCTCATTAAAGCAAATTCTCTCAACATTTTGTTAGCCACCTCCTAGGACTCAAACTATATCTCACTGTCCTTAAAAAAAAAAAAAAAGGTTGTTTGGCCTCTTACTGTGATTCAGGCTGGTTTTCCTCATTCTAGGTCTCAGCTCTGGTTTCACTGGGCCACAGTAACATATCGCTCACCCGCTGTTCTAAAAACTGATACGTGCCTGGCTCTTGGCAGTTGCCATTTTCTCACTGGACTGCTGCCCAATTTTGAAAGGAAGGAGTGTGATTATTATCCTCGTGTGAGATGAGTCAAAAAGATTACGTGATACGCTCATGATCATACACCAGCTACCAAGGACTCACACATCAAACTAAGTGTGTGGACGGACACTTTTGCTAGCCCTGGGGAGAAGAGGGGAGGGATAGTTTCTGACCCTATGCCTCCAAGTTGTGCTGGGTTTCTTGAGATGAGTGGATCATTAGGCCAGAGTGCACCAGTTGAGGGAGGGACCAGTTCAGGACCAGGTGGTGAGTTCCACATGAAAGTCTTTTATAGGGGCCAGGGATTTACCTCAGTGGTTTCACCACCTGCTGTGCAAGTGCAAGGACCCGAGTTCGATCCCTGGGACCAAAAAAAAAAAAAGTAAAAAAAGAAAGTCTTTTAGGGATTAGTATCAGAGAGTAGGTGCCTCAAAAATCAGAAGGCAAGACTAGGAGGGCGTGGTTACACCTGCCTTACAAAGGAAATAGCCATATGTTTTTCAGAATGCTAAATGGGACATACAGTGACACTTGCTTTTTATATGAAAATTCTTTCAAATGGTGTAACACTACCAAATGAGAGGGAACTTCAAAGAGGGTGTTGATTTTATTAAATCTTATTCTCCCATCCAAGTACTAACCAGGCCCGACCCTGCTTAGCTTCCAAGATCAGAGGAGATCAGGTGCATTCAGGGTGGTATGGCTGTAGACTATTAAATCTTACTCTCACCCACCAATTTTTCCAAACGTGGTTTGATGTACTTCTTCCTAACTAGAAAAGATTGTCCACAATGCTTCTCAGTGGTAGATTTTCTTACTCAGTGGATTCTTATCAGTACTAGCACACCTTTTACATGTTGTCAGTAAAGAAGGAGCCTCTTAGATAAAAGTATTCTTACCTTGGAAGAAAGGCTAAGTTTTCAAATGTTAATAATTAAGAAGGGAAAATTCTGAAAAACTTAGTTCACATGGGACTTATTCATTTCAGAAGGAAGGAAAGGCTGCATGGGACAGAGGAAAGAACACTCACTCAGGACTCCAGAAATCATGATTCAAACCTCACTTCTTCCCATTAACTAGCTGAATGCTACGCAAGGAATTTCATTCCTCAGAATGTTTTATCTGTAAAATAATAATTATGATACTGATGCCTCCTTTGACCCTGACACTGCATAGGTAACCAGCATTTCCCAGTAACATGTTCTTTCATTCAACAACGTCAAGTGGGTATGTTAGGTATTGTTATACCCACTCACAGTAAACATGACTTACTTGCCTGACATCTCCAAGGCAAGTCAGTGACATAAAGAACAACAAAATTCAGGTCTTCTGATGACAAATTTGGTGTACTTTCCTATTCTATTAAAAAAAATATGACAGAAGCCAGGAATGGTGGCACATGCCTGTTAATCCAAGCTATTTGGAAGGCTGAGACAGGAGGATCACAAGTTCTAGGCCAGCATGGGCAACTTAGCAAAATTTAAAAAGGGCTGAGGATGTAGTTCAGTGGTAGAGTGTCCCTGAGGTTCACCCTCAGTACTATAAAAAAATTTTAAAAAAAAAGAGAGAGAGAGAAAAAAACCAAAAACAAAAAATGGGAACCTTTTTTTTTTGGTACTGGGGATCGAACTTGGGACCTTGTGCTTGCGAGGCAGGCGGCAGTACCACTGAGCTAAATCCCCAGCCCCTTTTTTTGGTTTTTTTGAGATAGGGTCTTGCTGTGTAGCTCAGGCTAGCCTTGAACTCACTATGTAGCTCAGGCTGACCTTAAACTTGCAGCAATTTTCCTGTCTCAGCCCCTGAATGCTGGGATTACCAAAGACATGTGCTACCATGTCTGGCTTGGAAATTTAATTTTAAGGCTTAATAACTTAGAGTAAGAAGATGTATATAATGGCAGCTTATTACTGGGACTATTCATGTCAGGCTTCAGAGTTGTCCACAGGGTGTTTGTCTCATAATTGGAAGCTGAGAACTGCTTTTCCCTCTAGTAATTTCCTGATTAAGCACAGGATTTCAAATTAATAAACCAGCCATTGTGATAGTAGAGAAGGTAAAGCAGACTGCTGCTGAAGACTCATTCCAGATCAGCTAAAAGATACTCTTCCACTGGAGAGTAAAAATAGGAAGGATACTGAAATGCTATGTGTTACTAAAAAGTGTGACTTGGGACAGCTCAAGTAAATTTTTTTCTTTCTTAATATGTTTCCTACCTACTGAAACATATATAACATACTACATGTTTCCACAACATGACGTTCAGGAACAGGTGAAAATGATCTATGAGAACAGATCTAAACAGTGGTTACCTGGGGTGTCTGGGTTGGGAGGAAGGAAACTCTGGAAAGCCTAGAATCTAGAAGCATTCTGTATCTAGGTCTGTGGTGGTGAAGCTATGGCATGCATGCTGCAGTGAGCATGTATATCCTTCTCTGTGATGATGTCACCAATTGCAGGAGTTTACTAAACCTCAGTATTCAGGTTTAATTGCAGTGCTGGCACTTTGCAATAAATTGATGAGTTTTGGGTTGCAGTTTGGGCACTTGGTCTCTAAAAAGGTTCGCCATCACTGATCTAGCTGATGTTTACATGTGTACACACATCTAAAAAACCATCTACATTGACTACAGTTGTACCTTGGTTCACGAACTTAACTTTTTCCATGAACCTGGCTGCAAATCCAATTGGATGAGAACCAAATCAAATTTCCCCATAAGGTCAACATTGACCCTAACCATTGAATTTGACTCGATTCTCATTCAATTCAGTTTGCAACCAGAACTGTGGAAAGAATTAAGTTCATGAACTGAGGTACCACTGTACTTAGAATGGCGGTACTTAGCACATAATATTAAATCTCAAAAAACTCCACAGAAATATAGGTACTATACATAAACTGTGAATTATATATTGAATCTGCTGCCCATTTTCAGAACTAGAATCACAGTGCTGCATCTGTCTATGTGCTTCTCCCTTGCCCTGGCCTACAACAGGAATTCCTAATCTAGAGTACAAGGCCCAAAAGGTCTAAGATCAGAGCTTGGGGGGGCTTATCAATTTACGTAGAAAACAGTTACACCTTTATTTTCACTGCTTCTAGTGGAAACAAGATTCTTTAATTACAAATGTAGGCAACTACAATTTTTACACTAAAGAAAATCAGATATTCTCACATCAGCGTTACAGTTCTTGCACATACTTTAATCTCATTTACTTCAAAATTGCAGCAATTTGATCTACCACTAGAGATCTTGCTAATGTTAAAAAACATATTTATCATATTAAAATCTCATTTTATAACAAATGTGTAAATATATTTAAATATGGTTTTCATTTACAATCTATTTATTCTAGACAATTAACCTTCTGATGAGTTCCTTTCTAATTTTATTTTAGATAGGTTTTTGCTAAATTTGTCTAGGCTGGGCTTGAATTTAAAAACTCAAGTGTTGAGATTACAGGCATGTGTCACTCAACCTAGCCAGATGACTTTAAAATTTGGTACCAGGGGCCTGGGGATTTAGCTCAGTGGTTCCAGTGCCTGCCTCGCAAGCGGAAAGACCTGAGTTCGAGCCCCTGTACTGAAAAAAAAAAAAAATTTGGTACTGGGGATCGAACTCGGAACCTTGTGCTTGCAAGGAAGGCGGCAGCACCACTGATTAGCTAGACTTCCTGTTGCTAATCCAATAGTGTCTCATTATGATTTCACTGTTTCACATTTCATGGGTTACTGAGGCTACCGTTTCATGTTAACTCACCATTTGTGATCCTGCCTGTAAAATGATTATGCCCACTTGCTCATTTCTATAACTTGTCTCCCTTATTGATAAGCAGGAAATTTCTTACACAGTCTAGATCTTAATCTTTTGCTCATTGTGCAGATTGTAAATTATATTTCTGACTTGTCTTTAGTTATTCACGTTACATTTTTTTTTCAAAAACAAACTCCTAATTGTTTTATAATACTTTTTATGCTTAAAATGTTTGGGGTCTTCTTTGAGTTGATTTTCCCCAACCTAAGGTCATATTCTCTTCTGAGTTTTAAGCTTTTGTCTTTGTCATGCAAATCTTTATTCATCTGAGAATGATTTTTGTATAAGCTGTGAAGTGGGAATCAAATTTTGCTTTTTGCCACTGAATGAACGAAACGGCATTTATTGAGGAGTGTTTCCCCTTCTAGTGATCTTAATGCCACCTCTACAGTGTATCAGATTTCTGTATATTACAAATATGGATACATTTGTAAGCTCTTCTACTTCTTATGTCTATCCCTCTGGCATCACCATTCTGTCCCTTTTTGCTTTATGGGTTTATTATAATTACATCCTATCTGACAAAAATCATGGTCCTGTGGTCTCTGGCAATGGGACACTCACACCAGCATATTTTATTTTTTGGTATGATGAGTGAATGAATGACGGACAAATTACCATCAAAATAAGTCATGGCAATATGAGCACAGAAGGTATATTTT